GCGACAGGGGGGCATTTGTACCTTCACTGCTTTACTAGTTCCGGTTCACAAGTTCCGCTCTGGTGAAACCTGTGAACTTTGTGAAGCTGGAGCAAGCTCGTCTAGCCACCATGGTAAAACCCGTCAACTCTTGTCTTGCTCATGAAAGAGCTCTAGATGGCTCGGAGTGCAAAATGCCCCTCCCCGTCGCCGAACTGAATTTTCGAACGAATAAATTCCTATCTTCTTATGTTCTATAGTCCACTTTGGACCTAATGAGTGCATCGTTTCAGGTTTGATTTCTCAGGGTTTGTGTGACTCAGCAACGGGTTGTAGTGGTAATGGATTATGCATAGGTGAGTTTCTTAACATTTAGGGCACTTATAAACCTTGAGCCCATTTGAAGTACTCCCTGTGCATGAAAGTAGTGTAAAGTAAATGTGGTAGGAGTATATTTTCCATTGAACAGAAAAGCCGTCTTTCAACCTGGTCTACCAACCCGGACCTCTTCCTTCTCCAGTGTTCGGCAAAGATCCTTATTCTCCATTGTGATATAGAGATGAGGACCTTCGCCTGACCCCACTTTTGCGCAAGGAGTCAAACAAATGCCCCAAACATTAAATTGGTGATTTCCTATTTTTCAGGAACCAGGGAAAGCTTCACGTGTTCATGCTTCCTTGGCTACGAAGGAGAAAACTGTCAGAATAAAGTTGGCGGTAGGTTACTTTTGCACTTATAACTGTAACTTTAGTACTTATTGTTAGCGGGAAATATATTCGGACAAGTTGTAGCGCAATCTGTGGGAGATAACGTGCTCGTATACGCCGATATCCTGTGCTCTGCTCTCTGGCATGTCCAAGCCCATGTGACCCCTTCCGCATCACATAATTCAACCACATTTTGCAGGGTCCAACTCAATTCTGCCTACAATGGCGGGTGCTTGCACGGCAGAAGACTGCAGTAACCAAGGGGTATGTGTGGGTACAAAAGATCTCCCATTCTGTCTGTGCAATCTCGGCAGAACTGGAAAGAAATGCGAGCATTCCATCAATTCTTTATGTGAGTCTGAAAGTTCTACTGACAAAAACTCTCACAAAATATGAACGAAAAACTTCTTTTTCAGTGAACGTCGATCCTTCGGCTCCCATCACAACCTGCTCCCCAAGTGATTGCAACAACAAGGGTGTTTGCTTCGGCACGAAGAATTCGTTCATCTGTGCCTGCCAACTAGGTTACACGGGGAGCCGTTGTGAAAACAGTATGTTCTTGTCTACCTTGTCTACAACAACCGCTGTCTGAAGCCCTTTGCTCCAGTCCATAGTATCTCGCCAGTTGTATAGAATGAATTGTATATATGACATTAAATAAATGAGTTTAGCAAGCGATGGTCACCCTTGAGTGCGCTGCTGCGATCTACCCTCCTGGACAGTTTTATATAGGAAGTTTTAGAGAAGAGTTTCAGAAGTTGTAGGATGAAGTGACTCCAGCGCTGGGAAAGCGTCACTAACAGAGCACGCCGTGGGTTGACGACTTCTCAACAGGAGCCTGAAGGGGTTTATTAGTCGCCATGGAAGTGGACACTATTAGGCGTGACTTGCGCCAACGCAAATGTGGGCGGTGATTTCGAGAGGTAGATTCTCATTGCTATGGTGAACCATGGTCCCTTTTCCCTACACATGGCGCGCGCAATGGTACCGTGCCCGAATTTTTCTTTTCTTTTTTCTTCGGGGCGCGCAGTGTAAGCTCGACCAATTCATGCGTTTACGTGGTGACGTGGCAGGATGAGTTGCTGGCAGTATTCTCCGTGTCCAATTAGTCTTGTATCTCTCTGTAAGAGCGTGCGCTGGACCAGAAATCCATCACTGCGAATCAGTGCAGTCCGAGACCTTTGGGGTGGCCGTGGTTTAGCTCATCATGAAGTCCAGTGAAAGGAGGGGATGGGGTTGGTGGAGGTGGTGAAGGACTCGGAGTGGGTGCGCAGTCAATCCATGCTCTTTTCTGCTTGCCTACAGCTTTGACCCAGCACAAACAGCTTGGAAGATCCACATCGTAGCGTAACGTTATAAATAAGGTCACTGCTAAAAAAAAGGTCGCGCTAGAAGGATTTCATGTAGAAGTGAGCACAGTATTTCGAGTTAACTAGCCAGAAAACAATACGTCCATCTCCAATCCACTGGCTCCGAATAATATCACGTGTGGACGGTGAACATTTTTCAGCTCCATTCGCACTTTGCGATCCAAGGGATTGCGGCTCCAACGGACTTTGTCTTGGCACCAAGGACAAGTTCACTTGTGCCTGTTACCTGGGGTATTCTGGTGAACGATGTGAAACAAGTAAGTGGTCACATTTTTTTCATTTTTTACGTTCCCCTGTTTTCCAGAACAAAACTAATCGGTTTTGTGCCCTTAGAGGAAGTTGCACGGTTTTTCCCACGTGTGCAAATCCTACAACTAGCAAAGTACTGAGAGAAATATGCCCACTTTCAGTATCGGGTACTATGTGCGAACCATCCGACTGCAATTCGGCTGGTCTCTGTATCGGCACAAAATCGAAATTCAGCTGTATCTGCAACCTCGGCTACACAGGAGATCGATGTGAAACACGATATGGTTTGTGAACCCGTTTCTAGAATTCATTTGAATTTCAAGCGACTTTCGTCCCTATGAAGCTAGAGGGGGGGGCACACCTGCTAGGTGAGCAAAGCGTGTATGAGCCCTCGCCCGCTTCTTCAACCCAGTTATCACATTATGTGCATTTTGTCTCTTGTTTCTAGTTTTTCTTGTTTCCCTCTTGAAATCTTACGAAGCAATTATGAAATTTATGGTGTTTCAGGGATACTACCAGGATTCGAAGGAGCTATATGCGAGACCAAAGACTGCAGCGGTAACGGGCTCTGCATTGGTTCAAAGTTGGCACCGATGTGCTTGTGTGCACCGGGTTTCCTTGGTATCCGATGTGAGCTTGGTAAGTTGAACAATTCAAAGGGCCCAACTCCGTTCGTGATCTGTTTGAAAAGGGCAAAGTCAAAAAGTTGTGAAAGTATTCAAAAGAGTTGATCTCGCTTTGGTATTTATTTTGAGGAGCGGCAAGTTGCAAAAATTTTCCATTTAGGTTGCGAGCGGGCCTTATTCCTGTTCGATTCTGACCCCTTCTTTCAATAAAATCACTTTTCTTTTCAGAACCGCTCTGTAATTCACTTCTCCACTGCACCGGCAATGGTATCTGCTTGGGCACGGCCAAGTCCTTCACATGCCTCTGCAATCTCGGTTGGACGGGTGTCACTTGTGCGCAGTCGACACTTCTCGGATAGGATCGTTTTCATAGCCCATGTACTTTTTATGACAGAATCGTATTTTTTGATAATTATAATAATAACAAATAGAGCTTGATGGCCTTGACTCTCTACATACCTAAATGCTCGAGTACCTAGAAAATTTCGCGAAAGGTTCTCCCTGCCAGCACTGGGCCGGATTGGAGCCATGTCCCCCGGCAAGCAGAAGATGGAGCTACAAAATTCTCTTGTCGGAGAAGGCGTGTTTGTTAGTCCGGTTTGGAGTTGGCCGGCTGGAGTTTACCGTGGAGGCAACATATTAATCGCGCAGTTACGAGCATTGGTCATGTGGCGGAGACAATCGCAAATGTTGTAGCCTTCACATTTGTCATGCCCCCTTCTCTCTCTCCTTGCTAGGGGGGGGCAGGTGGCACGCAATGGAAGCATAGTGATGCCGCCATCCATGGTCAGCTGCACTGCACTCCCAAGTAAGTTTATGTAACAAAGGGTTTCAAAATAGCAAATATTTATACCGTTAAAAAAGTTCGTCATACGAATCTGTATTGAAATGTGAAGGTGGATGTGAGGTATCTGTTGTATGAGATGATTGGTGTCGGATTGAGATAACTGGTAACGACCTGATTCCGCATTATATCGCAGCAGATCTGGAATGTATATTCGAAATTCTATTTTTACAGTGTGAATGTTCGCGTTTTTCAAAGGATAGCTTTCCTTGCAGTGGACTACGTCGTGCTCACAGCGTGCGCTGGGATTGTATAGTTCTGTAGCTCCCAGATGGAAGCGGCGTGGCAGGGGGGTGGGGTAGGATGGGTTAACCGGCTCATTTCCATTTCCGCAATTGGTTGTCGCTTGCCCTTGCAGAACTGGCGAAGAACAGGAACGGAGCGCGCGCCACTTCACAGCGCTTCCGCGCTTGATACCACGCCTGCGAAACTGGCTGGGACGCGGGGTTGGCTTCTGTGTAGGAGAACAAAACTCCGGCTTTCCTGAACGGCCCAGTCATCGGCGAGCAACGAAGACTGCGTCACAGGTTACGCCCTTCAGCCGGCCGTTTATTGAAAACGATAAAATGTTGCACCTCAGCCGTTCTGGAAATTGAAATCGTCTATAAACGCTCGTGCTGCCTGGCAGAGAACGGCCATATAGCGCCTCGATGACAGAGGCTCATTGATATATTGGTCGAGACATTTTTGTTCAAAACAGAGCGAGTTTATCGCCCAGCGCTCTTACGCCAATGGGTTACAAGATATCTGTCAACCGGATGCTCTTCTCGCTGTGAGGGTCCAGAGGGCTTTCTTCCGTTCTTTTCTTCGTTCTTGGTTGTTGTTCTTCGGCATGCCTCTGCTTCAAAGCCATAGAGAGGGAAAAGGAAAATAATGAAGAAGGATGAGAGACCCAGAAGGAAGAAAGAAGAAAGGAAGAAGGAAAGAAAAGGAAGGGAGGAGGTAATCTGTGGTTGAGAGATATCCTGATGCTTGAGATGCTACCCTCGTTCCCTGGCACAACCAACTACTGATTGTAACCTCACAATGTGGGAGTATCTGTTACAGTAACAAGCCTTCTATTCTACAGTAACAGGCCTCTGTTCGAAAGTTTGAGGGAATGAATGCATATGATATATTAGACCTTGTAATCATGTTTAAATTAGGCTTACCTCGGATTTGTCATCCTTTTGTTCGGCAAAGTTTTGAGTTCAATCGAATTCACTCTACATCCAACACCACACTGTACATTTTTGAATGCTGTCACTCGTACTTGAATTTGTCTGCCACCAGGGGCCTAAAACACGCTCGTGCTTCTCTCCAATGGACTCTCTGCCCATACCTGAAAATAGGAAAGAAAAGGACAGAAAACGAAGCTTACCCTTATCCAGTGATTGCATCTCATATAATTGTCACGTTGGGTCTTAACAGCTGCATTTCCGAAGGTGAACGTTTTTGTCTTCCATGCAGCGGTAGCTACCAGGGTTTCGCCGCACCCGGCTGGCTAAAAATGTTATTCAACGGAATAGGAAACTCTTATTTTTCATAACTCAGTACTGAAGTTGATTTTCAAAGCTTCAGCATTTCAGGTTCCCAGATATTAACGACAGACTGCCCCTTACCTCCGTAGATCCTTGCCACGTGAAGTGAATGCGTCCGCAGATGTACTAGGTTCTTCGGTCAAAATCGCAGAAACATGGGCCGTAGGATAGTGATGCCCGGGTGCTGCCTTTATATCCGCGCTGCCACACGGCCAGCCACATTCCTAACCATAATCGAACGCGCTACTTGTCTGCACTCTCTCACTTGTGGTTGTTCTCTGTCGCTGAGAACAAGCTTTGCGGGACCTTGGCATGGACGCTGGTGCTACACGAAGGAGACTGCACCCCGGTGCCACTACTTTGCACCCCGTTCCCAGGCACTTTTCGAAAGGTCTGCTACTGCAGCTGCGGACCCGTTCGCTTCGCAGGGACCGTGGCGGGGACCGTCCTTGGAAGTGACCGTACAGTCTGTCATTGTAAGTCAAATGCTTTTTTTTGGAATACCAAAAACTGAAAAGGGTG